TCTGCTTGGAGTACATCCGGTTGTTTATGAAGTAGATCTTCTTCTTGTGGTGGTGGTGGTGGTGGTAGTGATGGTGGTTGTTCTCCAGGAGGAGGAGGAGGACAAGGACGTTCATTAGTTTTAGGAGCACCAGGAATGCACTCAGAACCACCATCATCAGGTCCAGGTTTAGCACCAGAAGTATTACATTCACCAGAAGAAACAGTTGGACCACTAGTATCACCTTTAGTGCACTGACCAAGAGGAGGAACTTTGTCAACTTTCTTACATTCCTCAGGACCTTCAGGAGGACAAGCACCTTCAGGAATTTGAGCAACAGGAGTACCTTGAAGAAGAATCTTTGTCTCACTCTCCGTATCAGGGACTTGGTCGGAAAGATCGGCGGCAGGCACTTCTTCAGCGAGGACGTGCACACACGCACATGAGAGCAGGAGAGCGAGGATACACAGCACGTAGCGCATCATTACCATTCCAATACTTCTTGTAGCAGTCTTACTTCAATCATTTACACACAAGAAACCCCAATAATAAAAACAGAAACAAATAGAATCAATGAAAAAAAAATAAGAACACACATTACCAAATCAAATAACAATCAACAATTACAGCATAGGCACACACATTGCAGAAAACTGCAACCATAACTCAGATAGTACCCAAATAAAAGTAAAAACCCACACAATACCCAATAACAAACAGAAAATCTCCATTAGCCCTCATAAAGAAAAAGAAATTAAAAGAACAACCATTAGAGGCAGAAAGTACAGGAAAACACAACAGTGTTTCTTCTGGTCGAACCTTGTCTAAAAGTATGCATATATGTGTATTCCTTATTATTTCTTCTCCTAACAAAACACAATCCATCACCACAGTGCAGGAGAAAGCACAGAGCGCCAAAACGAAAAAATGATAAAAAAATTAAGAACAGGACCCACCGCATAAAAATAACTCACAGACCACTGGGTATGTTGGTCTTTTCAAACAATTAGGAATACAAATTGTATTAATTACTTTTTTTTTATTTTCTCTGCGCAGAACATAACATCACAAAAAAGCAGGACAAAGCACACACAACGACCCAGCAAACCACAAGCAAA